GATGACTGGGAAGGAAGCAGGTGCCAGGGAGATGTGCCTGGCCCGCACGCCTGCTGGCTGCCCGCCCTCTCTCCTCTTGCCTCCCCGCCTGCCCCCTGTCAAGTCATGCCTTGCCCTGCAGAGTTGGCCCAGCTCTTACTCCCAGCTCCGCCGCCGGCCAGGGTCCTGTTCACAGCATCCTTCTCACCCTCGCCCTCCTGACCTCCTCTCTGCGGCTCCCTGGGTGAGCCTGCCCCTGTCCTCTCATCCTAGCAGACCCCAGGACAGGGATACCTCTGGGCCCCCAAGACCCTGAGTCCCTCAGGGACCGTCACCAAGAGGGTCGCTCTCCCCCCGGAAGCCCCAGAGTAGGCTCACCCAGGTGTGTGATGCAGGGCCGAGGCCAGACCACTCCACTCCTGTCAGCTGCTGTCAGCAATTTCCCGACCCCCGGAGGCTGCTGGGGCCTCTCCAGCTCCCACCTTGCATCCTTCCCTCGCGCCAGCCCCTCTGTACTTGCAGCTGTTCCTGCCGATGCCCCTACACCCCCAGCATCCTGCAGGAAGCCCACTCCTGTTCCCAGAGGGCGCTGCTTGAGGCATCCGAGGTAACGTTAGTGAGGGAGCAGGGAGCTTGGCTCTGGGCCTGACATCCCCCCAGCCCAGTAGGCAGGTGCTGGGGAAGTGACTTCAGAGGGGGCAGCTGGGGTCGGGGGTGCTCATAGCTCGCTGCCCTCTAGCGGCCCCTCCTACCCGCTGCACCTTCCCCAGAAGCTGGGAGGCTCCGCCCCACCAGGCAGGGGCGGGGACACAGATTCCTTCCTGCCGGCAGCAGCCTCTTGGACCAACCAGCAGCAGTTCCTGGGCCGGAGGCTCCAACCTGCCTGTCCCGGTCCAAGGAGGCCCACCGCAAGGGGATGAGGAATTCCACTGAGGCCAAGGACAGTCATGGGAACAGGCGGCACGGGAGTAGCTCATTATGTACCTTACATCATTTGATTCCCACGATAACCCTGGGAGTTAGGAATTATAGTCCCCATTTCACGGATGAGACTAAGAGAGGTGAAGTCACTGGGTCCATCAGCCCCCAAGACCAGGAGGTGTTTTGATTTTATTTGGTTTTGGCTGGAAAGGGGGTTGCCAGGGGAATGGCTGATTCCTGTGGAGTGTGACTGGAGCGGAGGGGGCTGAGTGATGAGCCTTCCACCCCCTTTCCTGTTTGTTCCACTCGCTGTTCATTATTCTGCTTCCTTCCACAGGATGCCAGAGGCCTTGGATGGGCCCCAGGGGTCCCAAGCAACACTCAGCAGGGACCGTGCTGTCAGCAGCTGGCGGTTGTGTGCATGCACATGTAGGTGTGTGCAGGTGAGTGTACAAGGCTCCCTGCATTCACCAGAACACAAGTGCCATGTAGGTGTCTTCACAGCCGTGTTCTCAAGAGCCTAGAACAGTGCCTGGAACATAGCAGGTGGCCGTTAAGTATCCCTGGCATGAATAAATGAATGAATGAATGAGCCTTAGCCCACAGGTTCCAAAGACCCCAGGGAGCAGCGGGATATTTCCCCTGAGGCAGTGTGGTAACTACCGTCTCTGTCCCTCTGCAGGGGAAGGAGGTGGTGGCAGTCCTGGCCCACAACAAATGCTGGTGGCTGGCCACTCCAGTGTCACGGTGACCCCCTTCACTGCTCCTTGGCCTGGGGGACTTGCTCACCTGGAAGACCCCGGGGCAGGGCCTGGAGGAGGCTCTGCCCTGAAACAGGCAGGATCGGGGTCGGCAGTGGGTTGCTCTGCCTGTCCTGGAATGTTCCAGGCTGGCAGACATTTGGCCTTTCCTGCCTACCACTGGTTGGCCAACCACAGCTTAGTGTGAGCAGAGAAGAGCTGGGAGTCTTCCCAGCCGGGAATGGACTGAGCTCAGGGGGTTTCAGGGCCCCTGTGTGTGTGTGTGTGTGTGTGCGCGCGCGCGCGTGCACGCACACAGGCGTGGCGTCCAGCAGTACTCACCCATACAGCCATGCCAGTTATTAAAACACTACTATAGTTCTCTGCTGGTGGATGACAATGCCCCCAGGCCAGCCCCTAGGTGGCCCTGCACCGCCCACCAATCCACACAGAAGGACCCTATTCCAGCTCAAGTCTGGCTTCCATTCCCATTGGTCAGTGTCCGTGCCACACAGCTCCCCTGAAGTCCAGCCTCCTGGACACTTCCTGGGCACTGCCATTGGCTCCCCCAAAACCCAGAGAGCAAGCTGGCACCCACCTAGGCTTCCTGCCTGGCCCCAGGGGCTCAGCAGCCAGGCACCGTGGGACCCTTGGCCAGTCCTCAGAACGGCACGTGCCCTGGCCTGGACCTTGGTGGGAGAGACAGCGGCCCGGGGGTGGCCCCGCCCCACAGAAGGCCTGGCAGCAGCTCAGCTGGCCCAGCCGCCAGGGAGGGAAGTCAGAGGCTGGAAGCCCATGGCCCCTGTGGACACATGACCGGCTCTCGGAGCCAGCTGGGAATTAGAGAAGCCAGTCCACAGCACCTCCCTGTGGAATTTCGTGGGCCTGGGGCAGAAGCGGGTGGAGAAACTCGGTCCTCCCAGGAGGTAGGAGTGAGCGGCCAGCAGGCCCAGGGCGATGGTGACCAGGTTTCACAACACAACCCTGGGGTCATCCCAGGAAATCTGGGGCAGACGGAGGCTGTGGAGGCAGGAGGATGTCCTTAGAGTCCGCTCCATGCCGTTCCAGTCGTGGCTCTGGCACTTTCCAGCTGCCAGGCCAGCACGTGCCTCAGGAGGTGGGCATGCCAGAGGAAGCCGGCTGCCGGCATTTAGCCCACCCCCTAATCACTTACGACACCTTCTCTGTCTTCTCTAAAATATTTTCAGGCACAGTTTTGAACCCACTCCTACTCTCTGTGGCACAGGGCCCTTGAGGAGAGGCCAGGTAGAACCTTCTATACTCCCCCATCCCTCCCCTTCACCCACTCGAGAGGGAGGTAAGCCAAGGGCCCATTTAGGTCGGAGGTCAGCAGGTGGCCGGGACAGGAGTTACCTCAGGTCTCGCTTGCCCCCCACCTTCTTGAGACTCCCAGCCTCAGCCCCAGAGCCCCAGGCATCGGGGCCTGACCCACCCTGATTTCACGCTGTGTTCTCGGCCAGCTAACATCTGCTGTTGCTCTTTGGGGAAGGGGCTCTGGGCTTCCTGGACCATCCTGGCTCCCCCATTCTTCCACCCAGGACGAGGAGGGTGGAAGAGAGCTGTGCACGGGGAAGAAAGGGGCCCGAGGTTTCCTTGTGCTCACCTGATTACTAGCCCCAGCCTGGTGTCGTCCCCAACTCCTGGGTCCTGATGGATCCTGAGAAAGTGCCCGGGCAGAGACCCAACACCCTCACACCTACTTTTCAAGGTGTCCCACTAGGGGCCCCATCCGCAGGCGTCACTGAAGGGCAGGGAAGCGCTGCCATCTGGCCACCTAGACTCTCCCGCCACTGCCTACAGGGCCCCGGGCTCCTCAGCGCCCACCTCCTGCAGCCCCTCACTGTGCATTTGCCATCAACAGGTTGGGCAAATCAAATAAACTTGTGTTTATTTCACCGAAGTCTATGCTTCCTCATAAATTTACTTTTCTCTAAGTTCTTATATTTTATTAGATGTACTTTCTTTGTGGCGTGAGGCAGATTATAAATAAAACAAGCTGGAACAGCTTCACTCAGAGCCCTCAGCCCTCTGAGCTTGGTAAGAGCTCCAGGGAGAGTCCCTGACTGCGGTGAACAGCCCCTTGGAGTTTAAGGTTTTTTCAGCCCAGGGCTGTGCCCGGCACCTCCCACAGGCCCGAAAGCGGGTTGGCCCTGGATTTTAGTGGCAGAAGGCCTCTTGCAAGAAATTAACTGGTTTCAGATCAAGAATTAGACTGTCTCTAAGGTGTACCCCCTCCCTCCTTCCTGTACAGACAGGGGCTATCTTTCCCAGGTCCACCTTCCAGCCCATCTGTCTCTGGGGAGCATCTGTAGCTATATCTTTTCAGAGCCTGAGAAACTAAAGCAACTTGATTCAGGAATCACCTTGGAGGGCTGCTAAAGATGCAGTTTCTTTCTCCCCAGCCCAGATCTGCTGAGCCCTGGAATTTGCACTTTAACCAACCCACCCGACTGAGAGACCCACAGGCCTGGAGCTGGTGAAGCACCCGGAGTGACCTGGCAACAACTCTGGGTTCCACCAGCTCCAAGGCTGGGGCGGCAGCGCCACCTGGTGGGTCCCGCTGAAACACCTCCACCACCCTTCTCGCCCCACTTCAGGGAGGCAAGTCCCCCACCGGCCCCTTCCTCTGCCTCCAGGGACCCAGAGAAGCTGGAGAGGAGGAGATGGCAGAGCAAGTGCCACCCTAGACTGGCCGTTCTCCCAGCCTTCCCTACCCACCACACCGCCCCCCTCCACCCCAGGGAACTTCCTCCATCATATGTCCTAAAGCCGCCGTGATGGCAGAGCGTCTGAACACCTCCTCTGGGCTTTGTGATGCTGGGCAGCGGGTGTGCTGGGGCTCACCCCTGTGCACAAGTAAGAGCTTCCTTTAAAGTCTCATCTTGCGTCTTTAAAAACCTCCTGAATTCTGCACATCTTACTCCATCACATTTCTTTAATATGAAAATGTTTCCTTCCTTTGTGAAAAACAGATGCTCTAGAAAGAGGCGGAGTTCATTCTGTGGCTTCACTGATGCACCCCCGCGGCCAGACCAGGGGCACCTGTACCCTGGTCTCGGAGGCCGGAACCTAGGGGTACCACCTACACCTGTTTGAACACACAAATCAAACTCCAGCCACGCCGGCAGCCAGGCAAATGGACAAGAGCCAGGCGTCACACTTCTCATGGTCCCAGCTTGAACAGGGGACCAGAGAGGCCCCAAAAGGGCCCCCGGCCCTGGAGACAGCAGTGAGGCACCCACAGCTCTCTCCTGCAGACCCAGCCACTCTGTTAACATTACCTCTTCCCTTTGGTCCTCCCCCAACCCAGGGAAGCAGCATCCCCACCATGGCAGGCTGGATTGTTACAAATCCTCTTTAATAATCAGTCATCTATGTTTTACAGAACTGTACACAGGGCCCCTCCCCACTCCCCTACAAGGCACAGCCTTACCCACCCATTCCCTGGGGGACAGAGGACAGGAAAAAGCATCCTCTAGCTTCCCTGGACAGCTCAGGGTCCTGGAGAATGCAGGGCCAGCTCTGTGCCACACCCGGAGGGTTCACCCATCTGATTCCCTAAGCGGCCCAGGGCCAGTCCAGACCCTCTGGCCCAGGCAGCTCCGCTCCAGCCCAGCTCACCTAGGCACTGCTCCCACAGCACGGCCCAGACTGATCTGAGCTGCCCGGGTGGGGCTGGCTCAGGCTGGGGAAGGGGTGCTCTCCTCATGTCAGGTAAAGCCCCCCCTCCCGCTACCTCAAAGAAAATGTGAAAACCGAGGACAGAAGCATCGTAGTGGAAACAAAGTTGACCCACGCAGTGGGCAGTCACCTGACAGCCCAGGGGGCCTTATCCACCCCACCCCCAAGTTTTTAATACACTTCCTCCCGTACAATATACACAGCCCCCAAGGCAGGTAGTAACCCAGCCCACCTGTGCAGGGAGCGTTTTCTCGGAGTTGCTAAGACAACCCTGGTAGACAGCAAGCGGAGGAGCCACAGAAGAGCTGGGGCTTAAGGCTGGCGGCAGAAAAGCAAAGGAGAGGGGTCCAGGCCCCAGGACGCCCCCCACTTCCAGCCAGCACAGGACGGACAAGGGGTCTTGGCAGTGAGGTGGGAGGCAGGCCTGGAGGGGGAGCCAGGGAGACCCCTAGGAGCCCTGAGGTTGGGGGACAGGCAGGGAGGTGGGGACAGCGGCCGCTTCAGTACTTGGGGACCTTGCTGTAGTCTTCGGAATGGACGTGCCGGCACAAGGATATGGAGAGGAGCATCCCCAGAAGCTGTCGAGGGAGAGGGCGAGAGTCAGAGTCAGGCCGGGCTGCCCGGGTCCCCAGAGGCCCCAGGTCAACACACGGGACTTGACCTGGATGAAGCTGATCCTCAACGAGAGCCTCAGGACCGGCCTGTGATTCAGGCGGCAGAGGGGCCGGCGAGGGGCAGTGGTCAGGCCAGGCTAGCTGCCAGGCCTCTAGAAGCTGATGAGCCTCAACCCGCCCCTCCCCGCACCCGACGTCCGCAGAGCAGGGACGACCTGGGAGGGCAGCATGGGGAGGGTTGGAGGGGATGGGACCCAGACCTCGATGACAGCGACGCCCACACACACGCCAAGGATGACGCCCAGGTTCTCCTGCAGCCAGGCCCGCACCTTCTCCATGCAGCCCTACAAGTGGAGAACACAGCCACGTCACCCCACGATGGGCCGCTTCACCCCAACACTCAGAATCACCAGGAGGGGCCGCCCCCAGCCTGGAGGGCCGGCAGAGAGGGGTCTGGGTGTTCCTTGAATGGATGCATTGATGAATACATAGATGAGCGAGCCAGGGGGACTGAGGGTCTGAACCCACTGTGCACCGAGCCCAGCCCTACCCGACAGCCATCCACGCACCTCCTTGTACACAGGCCACTCGTCGGGGTTGTTGCTGCTCTGAGTCCCATTGCCCACGGGGGCCTCGCAGAAGCCCGTCTGCCGCAAAGTGCTGCTGTCGTCCTCCTTGCTCTTGTTCTCGCAGGAACAGGGGTAGGTGATGTTGATGCGATTCATGAGCTCAGCGTTTTCTGTCCAGTTGTAGAAGCTGACCCAGCCGCAGCACTTCACCTGGCCAGAGAAGGGGACAGGCTGTTTGAGTCCATCGCCCACTCAACTGGGGTCTCCCTGGACAGGAGCTCAGATCTGCCCCTTCCAGCTCCCCCCAAGCCCGGTCTCAGCCAAACCACCAGGATTAGAGTTTAGGTTTCACTTTGGCATTTGTGAGCCACAAGGAATTTAAAGGGGCTCTCGGGATATACCATAAACTATGAAAACAGTAGGAAACAAAATCAGCAAAATTATAACGCAGAGCAGGAGGGATGGTCAAGTTGAAAGAAGATGGTCAGGGTAAGAGTGTGGGGGCTGGAGTCAGGCTACCGGGTTCAAATCCCATTTCTGCCACCTACCAGCTACTCAACCCTGATCAAAGTGCTGACCTCAACTTCCCCATCTGCAAAATGGAGGGAACAAAGGTTCCTAACTCGGTCTGTTATAAGGACTAAATGAGACGAGGCAGGCAAGGCATCCAGCCCAGGTTGGACAGCACAGTAATCACCCGGGTAAGGCCAGTTCCACTTTTAGGCTCTGAGAACATGCTGGAGCTGAGGTTTGGCTCTGAGCTTCCTGGTTGCCAGAGTGAAAGGGGAGACACGGTACATCCGCCTTTTTAGAGGAGAAAATGCTTTAGTTCCTGAGGCAAAGAAAGCCTTTCTGGGCTCCATGGGGCTCATGAAGAGGACCCCGAGAGGCTTCAGATCACATGTGGGCTTGAATTCCCGACAGGACTGGGACCTCAGGGACTAAGCCTGTGCCGGGAAATGCCCAGGAAGGCAGAGCAGAGTCGGGGCAGGGCCCTTTCCATTTCTGGCCCTACCCTGTGCACAGGCAAGCCGCTGCACTTCTCTGAGCCCCGGTTTCCTCACTGAAGAATTGGGTGATGACAGCCACTCTGCTAGGGCCCCCGGGAGGCTGAAGGGCTAGCATGGGAGAGCTGTGTGCCACCTTGCCCAGCACGAGGTCACTTCCCCACCTGCTTCCTTCCTATCTCAGCTGGGAAGTCCCTGACCAGCAGCCCGGTGGCCAGCAGAGGGCGTGCCAGGCACGCTCAGGCGTTCTCCGGCTCCAGGCAGTTTCTAGTCTAGGATTTATTTTTTATGTTGCAGGTGCCTGGCTGCCTCCTCTCCAGCAAGAAAGGCTGGCACCTCAAACCTCTGAGGGGCACCCACAGGCCCTCCCACACCCAAGCAAAATGAGGCCACTTTCCTTGGTCCTTCGACTGCACCAGGCAGAGTCCCGCTCACCAGGACCCCCTGCACTGACGCCCCCTGTGTCTCAGTGGTTGTGCATGATGATTCAACATCACCACCCACATGCCACATGATAAGTGCCTCGGGCTTTATAAACTCATCTCACGTGAGCATGGGTCAACAGTCCCATTTTATACACGAGGAAACAGGCTCAGAGAAGGCCTGGCCAGGTGTAGCTGAGTTTTGTATTTCAGCCCTGGGAGCCTGAATCACCCTTTGTTTTCTTACCACCATCCCAAGCAGCATCTGACAGACATCAAATCACCTAGAGGCCCTGCGAACTGCAGGAATCCCCAAGTCAGTCCACCACCTCCCATGACGGGGTGCTCATCACCTCCCCAGGGACCTCTGCCTCTGCCCCCAGGCTCCTTGATGGGTGACACTTGTTCATCCTGGGACACCCCGCTCCCTTTAATCTTAGCAAAGGGTCTAAGCCACTGCGGATCAAACCAAAGGTGGCATGAAAAAAGTCTTCCTGTGCTCCTGGAGCCCTCCAGATGACACAGGCCCCCTGTGTCACCAAAACTCTGTGAAGCACGCAGGCCAGAAAGTGTCACCCTCCCTTCTTCCCAGCTCAGATGATGGACATGCCCATGTTGCCGGGACAGAGACCCATCTCTAGTCTCCACGCTCTCCTGGTCTCAGGCTTTCTCGTGCTGTCCTGTCCCTGCCCCTCACATCCCACCGGTTTCCCCAAAGGCAGCCAGCAGGCAGTGCCGGCAGGCCCTAAGTGACTGTTGTGTGCAGGGCCCTCTTGTGACAGAGGGGGAGGCTGCAGCATGGAGAGGGCGGCTCCTGGCCAAGGGCACACAACATCTGGGACCACCAAAGCGGGGCAGCTGGGATCCCATCACTGAGGGCGCTTTGCGTGTGTGCTGATTGGTTCATCATCGAGGCAGGCTGGGAACCCACTCAGTCAGTCAGTCAGTCAGTCGTCAGTTGTTTCATCCATCAGTCTGTCATTCATTCATTTAGACAATCAGTCAGTCATTCTGTCAGCCGCTTTGTCAGTCATTCTGTCAGTCAGTCTGCTTGTTAGTCAGTCAGCCAATCAGTCATTCTGTTAGTCAGTCAGTCATTCTATCAAGCAGTCAGTTAGTCTGTTATTTTGTCAGTCAGTCAGTCAGTCAGCCAGCCAGTCTCTCTCTTTCGCTTTCATTGAGGTGGGATACACACACACACCAAAGTGTACAAATTCAGCGTGATGAACTTTTCCACCCATATTGGCATAACCACCACCTGGACCAAGATTTGAATAGAACATTCGTTTCACCCCTGAAGGTTCCCACGGCTCCTCCCCAAAGGCAGCCTCCACTCGGACCTGCGTCAGCATCTCAGCTCTGGCACCCAGTTTCATTTTTCTTTTTTTTGATCAAATATTTTTATTTTAGGAATTTAAGGCTAATCAATAGTAAGAAATCTGACAACATACTTTATTATATCAGCAAATCATATAATCATTTTAATAGATATGGAAGTTTTCAATAAAAGTTAACTTTCATTCCCAATTAAACCAGAAGTAAAATGGAAACAAGGGAATTCCTTGGGGTGGTACCTTTTAGCCGACAACCATTATTTAAAAAATTAAGCTTTCTTACCTTTATGATAACATACAAGTATTCTGAACTTGCTAACCAGCTGGTTGCAAACAGCTGGCCAGGTAACCACATAAATTTCCAGAGAACTAGTCAGCCAGACAAGTTATCCTTTTTTAGCTAACCACCAAACTCTTTTATGTTACAAAATGCTCATGACATTCTGCAGAATGTCATGGCACCCAGTTTCTTAACCTCCAGGGGGAGCTGCCAGCACACCCCAGTCCGGCTTGAGAGGAGAGGGTCGAGGGCTACCCCTGCTTCTGGCCACTTGGGGAGAGCCCTGGAGCAGCCTCCAGCGCCCGGGGCCCCTGGGCGAGGAAATGCTGGGGGTGGCAGGAAGCGGGGCTGCTCAGGAGCCCTGCCCCCAACAGATACACACTGACACTCAAACCGCTAACATCTTCTGTCTGTCAGGCACACCCAGGCCCACAGACGACCAGCCACAGACACGCAGACACACAGAGGCCAGTCTCCCACGTCCCCTCACCTGAGCCTGCACGTAGTCCCAGGCCTCCTGAAGGCTGTCCTCGTGACCATCCGTGTAGTTCTGAATGAGCTTGGTCACGATGCTGCCCATCTCCTGCTTCAGCTGCAGAGGGGAGAGTGAGGACCGAGGTCAGATTCCCTGAAACCCGCACCCCACCTCTGGCCATATGTGCTTAAGCTGCCTCTCCCCCACTCCCCGCAAACACTGGGGACACGCTCACAGCTCAAAAGCGTTTCGTCACCCATTCCAACCAATTTCCACTTTCCTGGTACTTCCTGGGTACCTCCTTCCCCGGTCACCACGCTAAGCCCAGTGTGGTCAGGGTCAAAGGCTCCCACCTGGGCTTCCCTGGTGGCGCAGTGGTTGGGAGTCCGCCTGCCGATGCAGGGGACGCGGGTTCGTGCCCCG